GTCAGAAAGTCCAGGAGCCAGTCACAGAGGGTGGGGTGCAGACTGTGTGTGGACAGTTTGTTACGTTAGAATGTGAACTCATGATGGTGCTGGATAAAAAGCCAGATGATCAGTAAAGTTATTAGGCTTTGTCCTGATGGGAAGATGACTGTCTGAATTTGATCACAATCCATCCAGTAATTGTTGACATATTTCAGTCTGGACCAAAACTGACTGACAACCACAGAGCTGCTGAGAGGACTAAAAATAAAAGATAAAAAACAAACATTTCTAAACATTCAATCTTTGCTATTATTCTTAAATTCGATCCACATCAGTTTCCCTAACATGGCCTCTACCCCTTTGGGCTCCACACAAAAAGCAACAATACAAACAATTTAACATCACACAGAATCAATAAAACAAGGCAAAACAAGTCTGATATAAAGATTAGAGAATAAATGAAATGATTCCTATGAATGTTTAACACTAGGAAACAATAAAAACAAAACATTATCAAGAAAGTGAGATTAGTAAAACTTTAGTGACACCCTCTGTGTGTTGTTCAGAATGTACAGAGATCCTCACTTTGTGAAACAGCCTTTTGAAGGCTAAGACTTGGTTTTATGTTTCAGGTTAGAATTAGTAGAAGTACAAGTGTGTGTGTGGACACGAGGCCACCAAAGGTCACATGATGTGATCTCACCTCCACCTGGTCTTAATGTGGTGATGTGTGGGCCTTTACATTTCCACCCGCTGGATCTTTTCCTGATCCACCAAACATCCACACAGGTTGAGGTCCCCTGGTGTAAGCTTTTCATGTAACACTGACTCTGTTTGTCTGTCTGATAGAGAACTACTACTTCCTGCCTGATAAACAGGATCCTCTGCTGTGTGGAAACAGCTCTACTGCAGGGTACGTTCACATCTGTGACACGTACTGACTACAATAATGTACTGATGATGATGATGATGATGATGTGTTCAGGGTATGTCCAAAGGGTTACCACTGTCGTAGAATAGGCAAAAACCCCAACTATGGATTCACCAACTTCGACTCATTTGGTTGGTCCTTGCTGGCTCAGTTCAGACTGATGACCAAGGACTATTGGGAAAACCTGCTCCAGCTGGTGAGTAACTGTCTGGTCCCAGTATATACACTGGTCTCAACTGATTCCAACTGGAGTCATTTTAAAGATACATTCAAATGATTTGTCAGTTTTTGGGTTAGATGAAGTCAGGAGAAAGATGCCTCACATGTCTGTCTCTGACCTGTCTGTCTCTGCCTCGTTTGTCTCTGCTGACCCGTCTCTTTGACTTGTCCGTCTCTGACCCGTCTCTTTGACTTGTCTGTCTCTGACCTGTCTGTCTCTGACCTGTCACTCTAACTTGTTTGTCTTTGACCCGTCTCTTTGACCCATCTCTCTGACCCGTCTCTCTGACTTATCTGTCTCTGACTTGTCTGTCTCTGACCCGTCTGTCTCTGACCCGTCTCTCTGACTTGTCTGTGTCTGACCCGTCTCTTTGACTTGTCCGTCTCTGACCCGTCTCTTTGACTTGTCTGTCTCTGACTTGTCTCTCTGACTTGTCTGTCTCTGACCCGTCTGTCTCTGACCTGTCTCTCTGGCCCGTTCGTCTTTGCAGGTGTTACGAGGGGAAGGTAAATCCTTTGTGATCGTCTTCATGCTCATCATCTTCCCCAGCTGCTTCTGCCTGGTCAGCCTCATTCTGGCGGCGGTTGCCTTGACATCTCTGGAGCAAGACAAAGCTGCCGTCACTGAGGCCAGACAGAAAGAAGAAGAGTTTATTCAGATTCAGGGGGTGATAAAGAGCAGAGAGGAGGAGGAGGTGAGAGGTTTTCATCTTCCATTGTTTTTTATTTATCACGCACATCTGATTTTTGTTTGAGTTTGTTTTGTTTTAACCAGTGTTTTGAGTATTTTTGTTGTTCTCAAAATATTTTTGTTGTGGAAAATCTTGTGTAAAACTTGTTTTAGCATGCCTAACATTCTTATATGTAAATGCTTTAAGCACTAAAAGACTAACAAGCAGATAAAAAACATCAACCTGCCAAGACAGTGAAACAGCTCGCGTCTCTGTGTGGCTCACACTACACTCTGCTTCACATAAATAACAATACTCATGAGGTACAATGCAGTACATCATCGTGGAATACTAACAAACGAGTAACAATAAACTGAAAACAATAAAGTGTCTGTGCGCCATTACATCAGACATCCTGCAGGGCAGAGCTCTCAGAGAAAGTCTCAACACCACCGAAGAAGAAATCAAAAAGCCACAAGCAAGAAGGCACTGCCATGGAAGGTACACACACATTTGTCTTCCTATACCTGTGAGGACATAATGCATTGCACAGGCATGTCTGAATGAAGCTCATTGATAAAGACAGAAAGGTTCAACAGTCAGAATGATGCTGTGATGTACAGCAGTGGGGGAAGTACTCAGGTCCTTTACTTAAGTAAAAGTAGAAATGTTTATGCAAGTTAAAGTACAAAAGTATTAGAATCTAAACATACTTAAAGCAACCTGTCTAGGGTGGACCCTCCTCTCACCCAGTGTCAGCTGGGATTGGCTCCAGACCCCCACAGAACCCTATTCAGGAATGAACAGTATAGATAATGGATGGATGGA